CCTTTAATACAGTTCCTCATGTTGTGGTGACCCTCCAACCATAAAATTATTTTTGTTGCTACTTCATAACTGTAATCTTGCTACTGTTATGAATCAGGCAACCCCTGTGAAAGGGTTGTTCGACCCCTAAAGGGGTCACCAGCCCCAGGTTGAGAACCGCTGCTGTAGGGCATTTCCGTGAGAGACATGGAGGCCATCATGGAGAAGGGCTTGAGATCTGACACAAGAATGTTTCTCTGATAAAAACTGAGATGACCTACCAGACGTTTAAAACCCAGAACTACATGTTGTTTCTTTGAAAGAAATGTGGGGACCTTAACTAAGCCAACTTCCATTTGTCAAAAATAGGACTTGCAGCTGTCAAAAATAATTCCCCCCAAGGTTTCTAAAATGAGAATGCAGAAGAAAAGCAACAAAAAGTACTCAGACATAATTACTATTAATGTGAAGGGTCATTAAAAGGTTTATGGAAGTTCTCCTGTCCACTTTTCCAGAAACACTGAAGCCTCCTCATGTTTTGGCATTTTTCTTTTACATTCTGCTTTCTTTCCCATTATTAAATTTCTAGTGTTTTCTATATTACTGCCTCTTAGTTTAAATAAACATGCCCATGATAGATAACAGTAAACCTACTTTATTTTTCAATGTGCTGTGCGTCAATTGAAAATGCCCTTGCTTTTAATAAGATAGTGCCCGTCGAGGTAGCAAACGTTCTGTGGGTGCTCTGCTAGCAGTCCATAACAGGGTGTGGGACCATGTGCTCTATCATTGTGCAGGGTGAGAGCATAGAAGACATTCCAAAGGAAGTGCTGACGGACTGCGCGCATCTTGTGAAGGCCAACAGTATCCAAGGTCAGTCTTCCTGCAGGTGTTTCCAGAATTCCCCTTGACTTCTTCTGAGTCGTAAATGGATTATATTAGAGATAACATGTAGCTTGTCTTTGCTCTGTTTTGTCCTTTGAGATAGTAGTTTGGGTACTTATAAAATAACTAAAAGCTAACCACCATCCCTGGTTTTCATGATGCTATCTGAGTTTCAGCTCTCTACTCCGATTTCCTTACCTTTGAAAGGAGGTTGTCTAGGCAGTTTCCCTCCCCTCCCCCCGAAAAGTGTTTATACAAAGGCTTTTGGAAATTAGGTTATATTAATAGATAAGCAAGAGATGTTTGTTTTCGTGGCTTTTAAAAAATTTCTGGTTGATGTCTTTGTTTCCATAATTTCCATAATTTGTTTCCATCTTTAGATTATAGTACTCAAGTCTCTAAGCCATTCATTATCCTCCGCCTCCTATCTCTTCTTCCTGTACATATTTTTCTCTCTCTAAGTTGAGGTGCGTGCTCTCAGGTCAGTTGATCTTGTCATCCTTTAGTTCCACTTTTGATCCAAGTCAGGGATTTATCAGTGTTGAAGTTTGTGATTTTCAACTGAGAGCATTTTTAAACCCCAGCAGCTCAGGTGATCTTGAGGATTGGTAATTAAGTAAAAACAATTCCAGGAGATGCTAAGGTGTAGAGAAGGTTGAGAACAATTGGCCAAAGTGTTTTAGGATTGGGCCTACTTGGTGCTGATTTATTTCTGCTGTGCCAGATTGAAGCAGTCAGGAATGAGCTGAGGAGGAGGAGGATGGCTGGGGTTGGGAGAGTGGTTAAGAGGAGGTCTTCGGCTAAGAGGGATTACACTATGAGATTTTAGGTGTAGGATACAAACATAGATGGGGTAGAGGTAAGTTTGGTTTGATGTGAAGTTGAAGGATAATCCAGAGGCTTGGAAAGAAAAACTATTTTGGTGGAAGTTAAAGATGATCAGACAGGTAATCACCGATAACAAGTACCAGGTGTTGGTGATCACGAGATAAAAACTGGGGATTGCTTTTTTTCGTTTTGTTTTGACCATCACTTAGAGCAGTGGTTCTCAACCTTCCTAATGCCGCGACCCTTTCATACAGTTCCTCATGTGGTGGTGACCCCCAACCATAACA